CGCTCCGTCTCTCTGCTCCCGGGCTTCTCTTCTGCGCTCGCATAGTCGCTCTCACTTCTACTTTCTGGATTGTCTCCCTCTCTCGTCCGCTCAACCCCTTGCCCCGCGGTCGCATCACTTTTCTACTCTCGCAGCCTCTACGTGTCATCCCTGTGTCTATCTCCTGTCCATTACATCCCGATTATTTATCTCGCTTGTTATCAATACCGTCGAAGACGTATCCAAGAGAGCGTTGGATTAGAAAAGAACACAGCTATGTGTACAAGAGTAATAAACATCACCATCTCGCTTAATCTTGGAATAATAAAGTTAATAAATTTTATTCACGCCCTCCATTTTAGGACTTTCGTAACTCGCCGTAACAAAGCTCATGTAATACATGATCGATATATTTAACCGTTTTACAGTCAGTACCACGCAAGTGATACTGCGGCATGATAAAACTCGTACTTTGCAAAAGTTAAGCAAGGCATGCCAAAGTTTTTGCAACAGCCCACACTGCGGATCAATAATAGCCCTGATCGATAACGCAACTTGTACAAAACTATAATTTTTCTAGGGTTTTTATAGTTAACATATCAATAGAAATGACAAATCTGAAAAATAGCAATTTTTCAATGAAGCATTTTTAAAATTCTGAATTGGAATAATGTTTTAATTGGAATAGTAAACATTCATAATTCCTTCCATGTTATATTTTCATTTCCTTCCATGTTATATTTTCAATTAATCAATATGTATTCAATTATATGTTGTTCTTTTACTTTAAAAATGACACAATTCTAAAAAAATGTAATTTTCTAGTTATTACTAGTTATAAATAAGTTAAAAATTAGGTAAAGATTACTCTATCAATCATCGAGAATATACTAACTTAATTTTACAGTCCATCAGTCAAATAGCTCTTATAACGTTCTTACAGTTTTCGAAAATATTATAATATCTTTTACGAGAAACACATTTTTGGAATTGTGCTGTTTTTATAAATAAAAAGGAGTCTTCTACATTTAGAGTTAGGACAGTTTTAGTGATCGGAGTTTGAGAAAGAAATTGTTTTATTTTAAATTTATTCATTTTAGCTGATAGAGGTTAATAACAGTTGTGATTTGAATTATATCGCTTTTGATGAATTATTCCGAATCTGTTTTTGCAGCATATCGAAATTAACACAGCTCAAAAAGGAGTAAAAAAAAGTTTTTTTAAGAATTTTAAAATGAAAATGATAAAAATAACATTTGATCATGTTTCTAAAAATATAGTAGTTATATTCTTTTGTTGATATTAATTAATCAATAATTTTCTATTAAGCTAAATAGTTTTTCTTCTTTTTTGAAAAACTTAATTTTTTTAGTTATGTTACTTTTGAAATAAAGAACAATGTATTCTTACAACTTTTTGAGAACCGGAGTTTTCTAACAATGTAACTTGTGGAAGATTTTGCTTTCTAAAGATTTTCGAGGTCGTTGAATTCGATTCTGATTTGAGAATTCTATAAAATTCAACTAAAAAAATAATCTGATTATTGTGAAACTCGATATTATAGGTTCTTGGTATCTCTGTGTTTAAATATATAGCCCGAAAATATCGAATATCAAAGGATAGTAACCTCTATGAAAGAGGATCACAGAGTTCATAATCAGAGTTTGAAAGCCAGCTTGGAAATTAGTACTAACTGTTTATGTAGCACAAATAAAGCGAAACTAGAAACTTGAGCTTGCATTTCGCAATTAAAAACTCCCTATAAAACCGTATTTTGTTAATCAAATTATTTTTTTCAGATTCTGTCCCCCATATTAAATCCAATATTTTGAGTTTCTTATTTTTTACCTCAACTCGAATAAAGCATTATCAAATTATCATAGATCGTTTTATAAAAATTGAGCGAATAGCTTATAAAATAAAAGAGGGTGACTCAAACGGGATCGTCGATCCGCAAAGGGTTAAAACTGTGTCATGAGTTTTAAAAATTCGAACTGTGCAACCTTAATATAAATTTTTGACTTGTGTCACTTTGTATACAAAAATATGTATATACAAAAAAGGAATTATTAATTTTTAAGGCACAATCATTCTTACAAACTCATTTAACTTTAGACACGTTTTCACATTCAAAATCGCACGATCGACCGGTCGAGAGATTGATTACGAAATTGCAGAGTCTCATAATAGGAACTTGAGAAAAGTCGATGTATAGATGCATCGTGAATCACTACTTGCATGCAACATGAAAGAAAATCAATTGTCCGCGCTTACCTGGCATCTTCCTAGAGAGACGATGTGCACCTGAATCTTTTTTATCTGTCCGAGAATGTCTGAGTTCTGTAACAAGACGCATCGTGATCATATATCGAATCCAAACACATTCATTCTGGAATCATGCAATCATCGGAATTTGGGCAATTTGCGTGCATCGAAGTCTTAGTGGAATATTGCGCGGAATAATTGTATATGAATATATATTGACACGCTTATTGGATATTATTGTCGATAATGCAAAACAAAAGCAAATAGATAGTTCAATCATAAAAAATTGACTTAAAATCGCCAATAAGAATCATTTGATATAATGAAGTTACATGTCAAGGATTTTGTTTTTTGAAATCACTAACATTATGGCTACGTTTACACCGTGCGCTTAGTCCGCGCTCTATACGATAAGTGTCTTTGTTTAATATACAGGATAAACAAGGACATCTATTGTATAGGCCGCGGCCTAAATGCACGGTGTAAACGTAGCCTACCTATAACTGAATTAATAATTGGGTTTTAAACATGTATAACAGAAAAGTTTCCTTTAGTATGCATAAATAACATCCCGCATTAATTGTCGCGAGACGAAATGTCTGGCCAAAATTGTACGCGGCGTAACTTATGAGATTCCAGAAGTATAGCACACAGACTCCCGCAAAGTTTCATTATATTCAACTGTTCTCTGAATCTCAAATCTCATCATAATTAGAAATAAATCATATCGAACCGCAAACCCGGAATGCCAAAATTACACTAGTTTATAGTAAAAAATTACTTTGGATCGAACTAGGTTCCTTACAGATTTTTAAATGCTGAAAATGATGCCGCAAACTCAAAAATTTCAACACGTGAGGTTTCCAAGATAAATAAAATTTAATGGCTTTTTCGACACTTATATTTAACACTTTTTTCATCCTGAAATTTTAATTAGAAGTCATGAATGTATTGTTAATTCTCTATAAAATGCATTTTTTAAATTTCAATATCTTATTTTTTAACCATGAAGGATTTAAATACAGGTTTTTATAAGAAGTTTTTCTAAGATAGCAAATTTCCTGCTTATGACGATGAAGTTATATGCAATGTCTAGTTTGTGGCTATCGATATACACAAACCATACAACTTTTGTACATAAAAAACATTTTAATTTTTTTTAAAAAAGCAATTTTTTTCAAGGTATTCGAGATGGGCAATTAAAATAAGACAACCTATGTGCATATAATTTAACGGAATAATAAACGATAAATTACACTGTGTATTGATATTCATTTACAATATTGATAATTACAATTTGTCTAACTAAAAAGCGATGCTCGATATTTGTGATTTAAATTAATGTATGTATAATGTGTTTTTCTCCGAGAATGACCATATTAAAGGCCAAAACATTTGATAATATTTTATGTTGTTGACATTATTGTTTTATTAGCGACTGACATTCGGTTTGTTCGAATAGCCTTTAATCGTTGAACGCATCGTTGAATTTTATATTCATTAGTTGAGTTGAATGAATCGTTGAATTTTATATTCATTAAGATCTTGTATTAGATATATTACTATTAATTTGTTATACAATTGTATATGACTTCATCGTCATAGGCGAAAAATTAAGTATCTTAAAAAAACTCTATACCTATTTAAATCTTTTTTTCAGTGTAGTTAAAAAATAAGATATTGAAATAAAAAATGCATCTTATAGGGGATAAATAATACATTCATGATTTCTAATCGGAATGTCAAGATAACGTTGACATTTTTTATAAATAAATATGGCAAAAAGCCATTTTTTCCACATTAAATCTCAATTATTTCGGAAACCTAACGCACTAGTGAAATGTGACTAGCCACATCGTTTTCGGCATCCAAAAAGTCTGTAAGAATTAACACTTTGCCAGAAAAACACTTTGCTTGAATCAAAATAATTAAAGAAATTTTTTGTAAACTAACGTTATTTAACACGGCATTACATGTTTATGTTTCATAAAGTTAGATGTTCAACTTTAACACTAGAAGTACCAACGTTTCTTACTTACTAAAAAGATTAAGTAAATGAATTACTATAAAAATAAAGAAAGTGATGAAAAACTAAATACTTCATCTGCAATATAAAGGATATAATTGTTGAAAAGTCAAAGAATTTCAGAATTCTATTTTTTTACACGAAAAATATAATATTAACCCAAAAAATAAAAATGGAATCAATGACCCTAGGTAGCAAATCGACGTTATTTGTCGTCATTTTGATGTCAAGATGACATATTAAAGACATCATTTTAACATTAAAGTGACAATAGTTTGCTAACTCTGGGACCATTCAATACTTCTAGTATTAATGTATTAAAATGCAGAGTAAAAACTAAAAAGTTTCATACTCTAAAAAGATAATGTAAAACATCATCATATAATTATTATAACATAATTAGATAACAATATATCGCCGTGTAATGATATCGTATAGATAATGTGATAATACGATACTTACATTTGGGTCATCCTTCAGCTTTTCCACGCACATCTGTAATTTAACAAAAAAGTTGCATCAGTCATAACTAAGAAAAACATCATACGTTGCAGTTCTATTATGTAGAACGTAATGCAGGATCAAGAGGCAGATAAATAATTTAACAGAAGTATGCCAATGTATACGGCCAACTGGAACACGATGCGCCATTACGCCATTACGTTCTCTCCCTCTCTTTTCTACCTCGTTAATACCCCTATTAATTAATAAAGATGCAAATTAGAATCTCATATTTAACATCTCATTAACTCGTCATGATTCGCATTTAACTTTCTTCGCCGCGCCGTTCGGGAAGCGATCAACGGGAAGCGATTTAAGTACTCTAAGTATCGACACATTAGCTATTATATAACATATATATATATATTCTAATTATATGTTAAAGATATGTAACAAAGCTTCTTGACATACTTCTTGTTCCTTGTGAGTCACTCAATTTTCACTATTCTTATACCTTTTTAATGATAATTTATTTTTTTTTTAATTTGTCAGATCAATAACACTTCATCTTTGCCAATTTGTGAGTGACTTATTCATTATGGACATGTAAGCTATTCATTCTATTCTAATTACTTTGCTGAGGAGGACTCCAAAGAGAGTTGAAACGTTCGAATCAAATAAAGAAGACACCATTCCAACTTCTGAGAATTAATTATTCACTTAGAAATTGCGTCGGTTACCTGTGCTGACTCTCACTAGCCTACTATTATTTATTTTTATATCTAATTATATGATTCTGAATTATATATTATATTCACAATTAACTTTCCTCGTATTACCAGGGAAGTAATCCTTACAATGTGAATATTCAGAATTAATTAACGCGAATAATATTTTAATTATCATATAATTCTTATAATCATGCGTATTATATTTTTAATTAATTTGCAAAAAAATTATAATATAATAACTTATAATACAATGAAATATATAATATAATAAAATTATAATAACTTTTAATACATTTTCAAAAAACGATCTTTACAATACAAATATTCAGAATTAACATTCGTTTACATAAACATTATTTTTAATTGTATACAAGAATACACATGTGCTTTTTATTACATAATATTATATAATCTTATAATTAAGAACAATACAGTCTGAGACACAATTGAAAAGCAAAGGCAATAGGAACAGAGAATAATAAATTTCAACCTATCAGAAATAGTGTATAACAGAATATACGATTTCTGATAGATTGAAATCTGTTATTCCCCCATTCCTATTGTCTGTGCTTTCAATTGTGTCTCAGACTTAACTGTATTGTTCTTAATTATAAGATTATAGTTATATTATGTAATATATAAAAACAGGATACAATATAATAATTTACATTTACGTGTATTCAATGTAAACTATGTAAACAATATTTTACGTATTGTCTATGTAAACAATCTATGAATTATCGAAACTTATGTTCTTTATCGTTGCACTAGACTGCACTAAAGCTTCAATCTCGCTTATAGTATAGGTATATATTTTTATTTATCGACAAAAGTCACTAAAGTCAGATATATTAACAATCATAAAATTTAATTACTTCTTTCTGTATTGTGTTATCAATTTATAATAATTTATATATTTTACATTGCTTGTATTATCTGCATGAAAAAGATTCGTATAAACTTAACGTAAACAATACGTAAAAATTCTTCTATGTATAAGCGTAATCTTGAAATATACGACACAACTCATTGTCTAAAACTTTATAAGCATATTATTCCCAATTATATCGATAATATTAAATAAAGAGCTAGTGATTAATATTCTTTTACCGAAAACAGTTGTAAATTCATATAAGCGTCTTGTTTTAATATTAATAGTTACAAGTAGTAATTTCATCGAGAATAAAAAGAATTCTGCTTACATTGAGAAAAAGGATTAAAAATGGATGAACCAGAAAATTCTGATTCATTTATTTCCAACCAGAATTCCAATTAATTCAATCTGATCTTTTTCTCAGTGTATCAGTGTGACTTTTATCCTTCTGGAGCGCAGAAAGACAATTCTTTTTATTTTTCGACAAGACTCGATTATCGACGAGTAGAGTTTGTCAGTTCTGCGAGGCACACAAACAGCAGAATTCGTCTCGCTACGACGCAAACAAAAGTTACAGAGAACTGAGAGAACGACCTTGTCAATGTTCTCGCGGTAAAACCTAAATCAAGCATGAACTCGACGACTCCGGGAAGCTTCTCGGTGCAAGTATCGACTTGCACCTGTCGTCCCCACCACGGTATACGCGAACTTTGGTTACATAAATCGCGTTCGGTGAAATAGCGACTATTGTCTCCTATCGATGCGTCCCGTGTATAACGATTTTATAAGATACATACATAGAAAAAAGTATCTATTGTATTTCCAAGAAAAACTGAAAAGTTACTCAATTTCCCTTTTTTCTTTTAACAATTATCGTTAACAAAGGATATTTTCTTGATAGTTTTCAAACACTTATTACTAAAATTGTAGAAAAACATTATCATGTAGAAAACAAGAATTTGTTTTCTTTTGAAGAATATTAAAAAATAAACGAAAACATTTTAAACACTGCACTTTTTACAGTAAAGTCGTCTCTTTTCGCGATACATTGTTTTCGTTTATTTTTTAATATTCTTCAAAAGAAAACAAATTCTTGTTTTCTACATGATAATGTTTTTCTACAATTTTAGTAATAAGTGTTTGAAAACTATCAAGAAAATATCCTTTGTTAACGATAATTGTTAAAAGAAAAAAGGGAAATTGAGTAACTTTTCAGTTTTTCTTGGAAATACAATAGATACTTTTTTCTATGTATGTATCTTGTAAAATCGTTATACACGGGACGCATCTTTGCAAAACAAAAGTTTAATAATAAAAGATAATTACTTCAATTTTAAATGTTTTAGTGTTTTAAATCCAAACATATAGTATTTTGTTTATTGTGAAAGTTTGTTTAAAACTAAAACATTTTTGAGCGTTTAAAAAACAGAGATAAGAATAAAACATTTTTATATCTTAAAATTAAACTCTTCTTTTATGAGTGTTATGCCCGTTTCTACGAATGAGGTTTAATTTTAATCTCGGTTCAACTAACTCTTCATCTTTTTCTAATTTAAGAATTAGATAAAGATGAAGAGTAAGTTAAACCGAGATTAAAGTTAATTTACACTGGTAGAAACAGGCATATAATAAGCAAATTAGATTTGTTTTAATTCAATAATCTTGATTAAATTTGCTAAGATTCAAAATATATTTTGAATAAATTTGATGCATGCGATGAACTTTAATAGATTTACGAAGATATATAAACTTTTGAAATACTTGGAACGATATAAATATTGGAATACAATACTTTTTCTGTGTGCAGGATGTACAGAAGAAGTTCGCAGAACTGTTAACTCGGGAGTATAGGCGTTTAATTTTTTAAACAATCATCTGAAGTGATTTTTATACCTCAATTAAAAATTACGTATTATTGCATAAATTACTTATTACATAAAAATTGCATATTATATTGATTGTTCTATAATTTTATATTAGTATTTGAGAACATTATATGTGTATATTTACTCAACATTTTCTACAAAAATAAGGGGACAAAAAACAACAGGTATATGAATTTTCGATCAATAGGGAAAATCATTGTGACTAATCTTTGTTTTCTCGCTGTTGAGGTGTAAAATCACTCTCGGTAACTATTCCCGGGTTAAGCTGAGGAAAACCGACGCGAAAGTTTGTCGAACGTGCGACTGCGTCAAGTACCGCCGCGCCGACAGGGAGATCCCTCTCAGTGGAAAAACGACGAGAGGAGCGTGGCCGGATAATTCACAACGTATCGATTGTCTGCCGTGTAGCGTCTCCTCGCGAATCGAGTGGACTGCGCCCAATTTCGGCTCTCAATGAGCGCGATATCAAATTATTATCAGGAAATCCTCGCCGATCCTTGCGAAACCGAAAGGCAAGGCATTGTGCCGATAATGCCACATCGATCGAGACTTGTATTTATGACCATGAGCGATCGAGAGAGCGAGCAAGAGTCACCTTCGCGCCGGACGATCCCTGGCGAGCGCGCACGCGGTACGAAGGAATCCATGAAAGTATCGATATATTTATAAAGATGGTAGGGGACACGCAGAAACGTTCAGGGAGGGCCATCCCGTCGACTCTCGTCTTCCGTGCGAACCCAGGTCATAATAATACCATAAGGACAGAACACAGAAGTAATGATATCATAATGATATCATAAGGATGTTATCATGACCTTTGTTACTCATAATAGGCCTATTTCTTTTTAGCTAAACCTTTTGCAAAGTTTATCTTTTCTCCTGTTCTGCCCACGTTAAAGGAAAAAAGGGAAAAGAGATGAACCGTGTAAGAAGTTCAGCTAAAAAGAACAGGACTGGTTCCATCAATGTAAGATTAACTTTAATCTCGGTTCAATTTACTTTTAATCTTTTTCTAATTCTAAGAATTGGGAAAAGATAAACAGTTGATACTTTCCAACAAAAGACAATGTAACACAGCGATCATTTCTTTGTTTAACAAAGGCGAACAACAAAGATGTAATGATTTACTGTGTTATCTGTGTCGCTTGCTGGAAAGTACTCAGTAAAGTTAAATCTAGATTAAAGTTAATCTTACTTTGTGGTGGAACGAGGCCCGTTTCTATCAATGCGGAATAACCTTAATCTCTGTTTAACTTACTCTTCATTCTTCTTTTTCTAATTCTTAAAACTAGAAAAAGATAAAGAATTAGTTGAATTGAGACTAAAATTAAACTACAACGGTAAAAACGAACTTAAAAAACGTCATAAAGATATCATAAAGATGTTTTTTAAACATACATGTCTAAAAGATATCTAAAAGACATCATAAAAACATCTTCTGAACATTGTATGGAAGATTATTCCAGCAATATTGCAGCAACACCGCAATATTCCAACAAAATTACACATATTGCAACAATGTTGCTACAAATTTATATAGTATAGGAGTTTTGCTCAACTTCTCGCATAGTTCATCCTTTCTATTTTTTCTCCAACATGGTGAACTATACAAGAAGTTCAGCTTCAAAGAGCAAACAAAAACTGGCTTATGAAGTCATGATGATGTCCTGTTATAAGGTAAAAACCACAGCACAAACTTTTGCCTAACTCATAATGCATAGTGTATAAGAGAATCAACCAATCAGAATCCTTCCTTTTCTTCCTTTTCATGGAAAAGAGGAACTTTGATTGGTTAATTCTCTTATGCACTATGCGTTATGTACAGTATTGTGCAAAAGTCTGTGTTGCGGCCTTCAAATATAATTTAGATAATTTAGATAAGTTAACAGAAATTTTGAAATTGCATAAAAGATTGAAATCACATAATGTATTTAATTAAACGTACAAAATTATTAGTGTAATAATGTATGTTTTGTATGTTTGATTGAATACACTATGCGACCTCAATCTTTTATATAATTTTCAAATTTCTGTTAATCTATCCAAATTATTCCGCTTTTCTCCATCGTTACTATTATTATGATTCTATCTGGAAAACTGATCAACAAGTTCTCGATGGCGAGTTCGTTATAGTTTTAGATATCGCGCCGATTAGATATCGTACACGAAAACATAGGTAATTCGATCCCGCAACGAATTTCTCGACCGCTTCCACCAACGAGCGAATGAGGCGCGTAACGCACAGAAAAGAGAGATAGAGAAAGAGAGAAAGAAATGGATGGAAAGAGACGGAAAGAGGGCGCCCGGGGACGCCGAGCGGGAGAGAAGCTCAACACGCTCAGCCATAAATGGAACTTTCGACTTTCGCAGTTCGTACTCGGTTTCCTCCTCGCCCTTCGCAAACTTCCTCCGATCCTCAAAACCCTTCACGTGCGCGCGCGCGCGCGTGCGCAGTCAAGTTAGCAGCAAAAGACGCTTGGTGGATCTATCGAGTTCGAGTTGTCCCGAATCAATCGATACGATGGATCGATCGATCGATCCATCGTATTGACTCGGAGGGAACTTCACGACTCAAGTCAAGGAGAGGGGAGGGGCGCTCTCGTGTATCCTTCATTACGCGCGGGGAGAAAAATAAAAACCTCCCCGCCGATCTTCAAGGATGTATAATTGCATATGCGTATGTCGCGCGGAGGAGGAGGTCTCCTTCTTTCTCTCCTCTCAACCCCCGACGACCCGACCATTCTTCGATCACTATCGCACACACAGCATCGTAATCTCTTTAGGTCTATTCGCGTTTCTTGCACTTTTTGCACTCAAAATCTTCGTTTTTTTTTCTTTTCAATGCCCAAATATACGTACATTTATCTCGTTTTAAGTGCAAAAATTATGAAAATAATTTCAAGCAACGCGAAAAGACCTTTTTCTCTCTCTCTTTCCCCCTCTCTGTTCCTCTCTTTCTCACACGCTCTCATTTTTCTTTCTCTCACCTGATGCTCGAGTATCGCTTTCTGCAATTTCTGTTGCACAGCGAAGATCTCCTCTTGCAGGCTCTTGGATATTTCCATGTTTTCTGGCAGGTGGTTCAGCACGTCAAAATGCTCCGGCCTCGGTAACAACCCTGGCGGCGACAACCCTGATCCGTGTATATTGTCCCCGACGCGTTGGGGAGGAGGGAGCGTACGGGGACGCGGGGCGAGTTGTGAACTGGCAAACGCTCCTCTCGAGAGTCGAACTGAAGTCGCGGGCTGCGCGAATCACGACTCCGACGAACGACGACGACGCGCGAACGAGCGGCAGCGGTGGCGGGTCACCGCGACGCGTTCTCAATGTAACGCAACGCAACGTAACGTCACCGTCACGTCTCGTCTCGTCTCGTCTCCGTCCGTCCGTCCGTCCGTCTGCTCCAAACTTCTCGGTCGTCTCCTCTCTCGCTCTTTCTCCCTACAAACTGCCGATGCGATGTTACGCTTCGTCCCGAACGCGCCACGAGAGCGTTGCGTCTCTTTCTCTTCCTACTCGTTTCTTCTCTCGCTCTCCTCTCCCCTTTACCGCCGTCGTCAACCTCTTCCGTCGCTGACTCCCTCTTTCTTTCAGCCGAATGCGAATTTACCAGAATTTACCGAGCTCGCGCGGCGCGGTGCAGTGCAACGCACGCACGCACGCACTTTATTGTTAGTTACTTTACGTACGCACGATGTACCACGATATATCTCGCTTCGTACTTTCCCTTTCGCACTTCCTTGGTATCGCGGGCGTTTTACAAGGTCGACGTACCGAAAAGTCACGTATCAAGAATCCAATCCCAAACTCGTCGTCGGCGACGGCGACGCGAGCGTTTTACGCTGCCACCGGCGCGCTGCGCTGGCCCTCGCTCGAGTACGCACGGCGAGCCGCACCGAACCGAAGTTAATCGCACGCGCCCTCCTCGCCCTGTACCTACCCCCTCCATCTCTTCCTCCTACGTTCGGACTCCGGCGCCCTTCGCCGATGATGCCCGATTCAGCGGGGGAGTTGACGAGCTTTCGCGCTAAACATACGAGATTCGACGCCTCTCTTCTTTTTATGCCTGTTTCCATCAATGTAGATTGTAGATCAATTTTAATCTCGGTTTAACTTATTCTTTATCTTCTTTTTTTAATAGTAGGACTAGAAAAAGGTGAAAAATTAACTAAATCGAAATGAATTAATTTAATCTACATTAGTAGAAACGCGGACATTAACTGAACTTCTTGGATCGTTTATCTTTTGTTCCTTTTTTTTCAAGGTGAAGAGAAAAAAAGAAAAGATGATGAATCATGCAAAAAGTTGGACTAAAAAGAACAGATCTTCAGCTCCAACGGAGACGTCCTTTTCTTTTTCTTTTCCTAAATCTGCTTTTGGAAGCTGTCCCATGTAGCACTTCTTACACTCGAAATGAAAAGGATGTGTGTAATTAAGAGTCAAAAGGAAAAAAGAAAGGAACGAGAGAACTCTGAAGAAAGTTCCAGAATGGGCGCAAGGAATAATAAAACCTTCCCTTTGCTCCGCAATTTCATTCGTCCCTTCCCTTCTAAACTATTTGCGACGAATAATTCTCTATATCAGTTAACCCTAGGCAACAATGTTGGCAGCGCTGGTCAGCGCTGTATGTTCATCGCACTGCTATTGGACGACACGCGTGTAGCAACACATGGTGATTCATATATGGGGTTTGAGAATCGATTGGGGTCGATTGTGTACTTGAAATAAACTTGAAAATTACAAAACCAAACAAATTTAGTAGAATATTTATAATTTCATTGGTCAATATCTACTGAATTTGCTTATTTTTGGAATTTTCACTTTGTTTAAAATACACAATCGACACCTTTTTCTTTATTTCAGCATTATAGACACTAGAATTCTCTTTCTCGTTTTTGCCAAATATAAAAAAGCACGTACCTATTTCACTTTAAATTCCAAAACGTATATTAGTTCAGCCATAGAGAATAACAGACCTATTAATTTAATCAGAATTGGCCGGACCAATAATTAATAGATCTATTTGTGTTTTGCACTCAACATCACTTCGCTTCCTCTTTTTGCAACACCTGAATATATAATTGATTTTTTTTATTCACGTTTCTTGAAATCCAAAAAAAATTTCTTACACTTAAAACGAGATAAACACATATTTGAACCAATTCAAAGAAGAAATTTTCAGTAGAAAAGAAAGTATACGAAGATGCTGAGTGCAAAAAGTGCAAGCAAAGTACAGATTAATTTTATTTAATTTTAAATGCAAAAAATGCATTTTTTATTATATATACAAGTGCACTATTTTTTATTAATTTTTAGTGCAAAGATTTTTAATGATTTAGATTTTTAGGTCTGTATTCACATCACATTTAATTTTTATTGATAAATAAGTGCATTTAACATATTAATTGTTATTTATTACATATAGAGTGTGAAAAATAAATACATGTAAAAGTAAAAGTATAGATTTCGCTTGTATTAAGCAATAGCAAGACGTAAAGAAATCAGGTCAATGATCGAGCTAATTAATGTATAAGTTAATTACAATTAATTTTGCATTTAAAATTAAAACATTTATTATGTAAAATCAAATCATATGTTTTTTGTTTAACAATTGTTAACAAAAAAATTAAAAAATTTTTTTTTCTTCATAACATTGAAGTACTCTTGAAACTGTACAACTTTTGTTTAAAAAATTTTTTTTCCATCTTTTATACTTCCGGTATGGTATTCGGCTCGAAATAGAAATACCGTTTTTTTTTTCAAAGGGGTGTTTAACCCCTTATAAACATGAGTTAGCGCACGTATAAAAAAATACGTCTCTTTTAGATTTTCGTGTTTTACAATATATTTCATGGAGAATCAAATCGATTCCGGACAGTTGTGAAATTTCCCTTGTAAGCCGATAATTAATTAATGATTTTTTGTATGAACATTTCCGAAATTAAAAAGGTGTAGCGACAGACTGACATGCAGTCACTCAGATAATTTCAAGTCAAAATACTACATTTTTACGTTATGCAATTAACTAACAAATAAATTGAAAATAATTTTTGTATAAAACTGTTTGTATGTTGTATGAAGAATTGTGAAATATAATTGAAAAGATTTTATAATTTACATTTGGATAATTTAATTTAAATGTTATGTTATTATATAATAATTATTATTATTATGTTAAATTTAGATTTATATAATTATTATTATATTATATTTATAAACTATGGGTTCTTTTTTTAATTTTAGGCGTCAACAGTGTCGTTCTATCTTTGTTATTTATAGAATGTCAAGAAGTATAAGAGCGATATTTGTGTCGATTGTGTCTTCTAAAAAGAAAACAGCTTAATTATAATTAGCCAATATATCGGCTAAATTTATGTAAATAATGGGTGCTTTCCATTTGGTAACACAAAAAGTCGATACAAGTGTCTTTCCATCTTTTTGTTACTCTTTGAGTATCAAGAAAAATGAAATTTGTTCGACTTGTATCACTAATGCCCGTTTCCACCAATGTAGATTAACTTTGATCTCGGTTCAACTTACTCTTTATCTTTTTCTAATCTTTAGAACTAGAAAAAGATGAAGAGTAAGTTGAACCGAAATTAAAGTTAATACATTGGTGGAAACGGGCATAAGGCTACGGTCCACTTGACGCTACGAATGCTTCGAAGCAATTTTTGATTGGTCAGTTAGTAAAATTCTTTTTTCCGATTGGTCAATCAAAAGTTTCGAAGCATTTGTAGAATCAAGTGGATCGCACCCTAAATGAAAAGCGCCCAATATCGCTTTTCTTGCTTCCCCTCTTGCTATTTATTTGATTCACGGATAATTGGCGAATGCGATGATATCCGGATCACTCATAATTTGAATAAAATACTTTTGCAGGAAGATATAAATTCTAGTCGAAAGACGAACTAGATTTTGCATAAATTTGACATAACAAGTGTAGACCGCATTCTTTTCTGCGTTCAATCGAGTTGTCTTTTGTTGTCAATTAGATTTTCGAATGAGAAAAATGAAAGCGAGGCAAATGTTTCGGGAATTGGAGCTAACTTCATGGAACGTTCCATCATCTCTTTATGCCACTTTACGCGGGACCATTACCATGTCAGCTGATCGCCATAATTCGAACAAATTGAAGAAACGGCTTTGCGTGAACGACTGAAAGAACATGTTGAGAATTGAGAAAATGCAGAGTAAAGAGTGCAAGATTCGAAGCGGCCGCCGGCGCTTTTAACGTGGCTTTCAGACGTCGCCGTTGGGTTGTGCCGGGTCTCGAATATCTCGGCGAATTCCCTTCTAGTATACGGTAGCATCTGATTATTTGCTGTTGACAGCTCGAATTAATTCGGCATTCGAGGAAAGCCGTTTCTTTAAAGTTATTTCTTGGACATTGGTTATTTCTGTCCGTTCTATTGTTCAAGTCGATTCGTCGAAATCTGTTCACTGATATCGTCACCGATGACACGTCCACACGTGTACACAATATGTCTGCGCGATGCGATTAGCGTTGATTCCCCTCACCCTCTCGGAGGACTCGGATGATCGCTATCTCTTGACACTCTTCTTGTGAGAATATAGAAATATTTTGGAATTATTCGGTCAGAAGGAACATTTGACTTGTGCAATCATGTTGAAGGCTGTTATTTTAATTGGAGGACCTTTAAAAGGTTTGTGTTGACTTAGTTGTCACTTATTTATCTAGTAAGAGAACTGTAGAATTATCAAATTTAATATCAAAATTATATACACATACCTAATTGCATATATAATTATGTATTTTTGACTACATTTATTTAAAGATCCTATTGATATCTTGTACATAATTTTAATGTTGCTGTTGGATTATGTCATATTTTGATTATTTCATCATTGTCATAGGCTTCATGTATAAATTTGTACATATATTTATTGCATACATTCAGAATTATGTTTTTAAGACTAATATAAGGACTATTCTTTTTAGCTGAACTTCTACATTGGAGAGAAAAAGATAAAAGATGAATGATTTAAAAAGTTGAGCTAAAAAACTTATAAATTCTTCGTATACTTTATGTTGTACTTTATCTTTGTTGCATTTGTATCTTTGTAGGAACTAGATTTAGACCTCTATCCTTGGACATCCCAAAACCATTGTTTCCAGTGGCTGGATTACCCATGATACAACATCACATTGAAGCTTGTACCAAAGTATCCGGTCTCAATGAAGTGCTGATAATCGGGGCGTATCCCAAGAACGATCT